GGGCCAGAAACCTTAATGCAGCGACTGTCCTTTTCTTGCGCTCGTCCTGTCCGTTCTCAGGAGAGATGGTCGCAACAAGTCTGATGCTCTTCATGCCAGGGCTGGGCCAAATGGGATTAAGTAAATCTGGTTACGCGAAGGATAAATTAACTGTGCTGAACCTTTGGAATTGAGTTTCTCCATCACTAAACCTTTGCTTGGCATTTAAAAGTTTTGCTGGCAGAGCTGCAGGATTTTGGAGGGTTAAGAAGTCAGCCCTGAGGGATGTGGCTCTGCTGGCCAAAGCCCTCGAGCAGATGTCTTTGTAGCGGGACTGGTGCCCTTTTCTTGATGCAGCTTTTGGGGATCCGGCTTAAGCTGTTTCAGCGAAAGAGCTGTTCTTCCGGTATCCGCAGCATCTGTGGACAAACCCTTTCTCATGTGGACAAGCCAGATGGGATGGAGCCCAGTGCTCCCAACCTCGGGCACTCCTAAATTGTGAATTTGGCCCCTAATGTGTGTGTGTGTGTGTGTGTGTGGGGGGTATTAATGTTTCTTTAATTTATTCTCTGATTTGGGGGGCTTTCAAGTTTCAGGGCTTCAAGTATTTCTGGACAGTTGGCAGGGCCAGAGGTGGTGCGGGTTTTCTCGAGTGAAAGCATGGAATTGAGGCACAATGATAGAAGTGCCGGAGCAGGGACTTTAAGAGAAAGGCCAGACAAAGACCCTTAATGAAATGATCACAGACACCGAGGGCTGGAAGGGAGGTCACGTCCAGTCCAACCCCCTGCTCCGAGCAGGACCAGCCCAACTACATCATCCCAGCCAAGGCTTTGTCTACCCCGGTCTTAAACACCTCCAAGGATGGAGACTCCTCCACCGCTCTGGGGAGCCTGTCCCAGTGCTTCACCACCCTCCTCGTGAGAAAGTTTTCCTAATATCCAACCAAATCCCCCCTTGCTGCAACAATGGCTCCTTGTCCTGTCATCTGCCCCTGCTGAGACCAGCCCAGCTCCATCTTTTTTGCAGCCCTCCTCAGGGAGGTGAAGGCTGCTATTCGTTTCCCCTCGGTCTTCCCTTCTGCAGACTCGATCAGCCCAGTTCCCTCGGCCTCTCCCCACCAGTCCTGTCCCCCAGCCCCCAAAACATTTTCATTGCCCTCCGCTGGACTCTCCAATTTCTGCAGTGGGGGGCCTGCAGCTGGACACAGGATTCAGATGTGGCCTCCGTGGTGCAGGACGGAGGGGAAGAATCACCACCCTCCATCCACCGGCCACGCTGCTACCGATGCAGCCTGGATTAGCGGCCAGACGTCTTTGCAAGTAGGGCACGCTGCTGGCTCGTATTGCCAGAGCTGGCAGCGTTGGATGTCCTGGCTGGGCTCGCTGAAGCTTTGCTCTGTGTGTGTTGAATTCGCCCTGATTTGCACCTTCAGGCCAGATGCCTCCTAAGCTGAGCCTTCGGCTCTAGCAGCACCGTCTGCCTCCCGCAGGATCCGGATTCTGAACGTTCAGCTCCCGCAAGTGTCCGTGAAACTCGTCCCGAGCGTTGGCGTTCGAGTGTCTGTCGTTTCGGATCTCCACATCAGGGCCAGCCTGTGAGTGTGCTGCCACCTGCCGTCCTGGGCGGGTGGGGAAGGGCTGGAGGATGCAGCTCTCCGGGCGCGTTTTGGGAGCCCCAGTGATGGACCAGAACCGCGTTGCCCCAAGTGCAGTAGAAACGCCAAGCCCAGAACATGGCCTGGTCCCAAGGAGTTGGTTCAGGCTTCAAAGCCCCTTTTAAAAAGAGCTGCCCGAGCACCGTTGCACTGAAGGTCGACAGGTCTCCCCCAGGGGACTGGAGGATGGCACTCATTAGTGGTGGTCGTGGGGGTGTTCCCAGCCCCTTAGTGGCTGTGTTAAACCAGAGTTAGCCTGGTTAAACCCAGGTCCACTCAGCCCTTTCTGAAGCCACAGGCTCAGCCCCAGGCTGCGGGAAGCCAGGAGTCCTTCGAGTGCCGTGTTTCTCTTCTGCCCCTGCAGCGCCCTTGTGCCAGTTGAGCTGAGAGCGGGCACATCTGTCCTGCTGGATGTCCGCGTTCTTCGCACTGCCACAGGCTTCCCCGTATTGAAAGTTTCGGCCTGCAAGTCCCTTCTGGGAGACGTGAAGATTATCCTGGGAGGAAAGAAGTGAGTGTCAGGAGGCTTTCCATTTACTCCGTATGTCCTGCAGTGTTTACAGCTGTTATCGTGCCGCAGAACACAACCTCTCATGCCTCGCAGACGTCTTTAAGCTTCCTCCTACCATAGTAAAAAGCTTTATTTATCTTTTCTGACCAGCTGCTGATTCATGGGCTTGTCTATTTTAAGACCAGAAGGGATTGCTATAATCACAGGGCCCAGCATGCCTGAGGACACTTTCCTTGAGACCACTAACATATTTATTCGAGTGACGTGTGCTCTTAGCTCTTCATTGCAGAGCCTTTATTCTGCGGCCCTTTGCTCCTCTGGCCCCAGCGACTTTTATTAAGGCAAAGTCTGATTCTCTGTCCTGGGAAAGCTTCCGTCAAGTCCCGTGGGAGCTTTGCCCAAGTGCAGACTACCAGACGTTCGTGGGTGCGCGCCGCTGAGCCGCTGCAGGGTGACTGGCGGCAGCGCGTCCGGCCCAGCCCGCTTGGCGCTGCAGTGACATTGCTGCAGGAGCCCAGGGAAGGCTGCGGCGTGGGGGTCCGCTGGCCGCTGGGCGGTGAACCCCGGTGACAAGCTGGGAGCCCAGGCCCTTTCTTGCCAGCTGCAGGCTTGCTTTCTAACCTCCGTGACGTTGCGTTCTGGGCGTGTTTAGTGTCTTTTTACCCGCGTCCCATTTTCTTACTTTCCTTCTCTAGTTTGCTGCGGTTCCTGAACCCACTGACGAGCCACCTGCGTGCCGCGCTGATCGATAAGGTGAGGAGCTGGACAGCCTTTCCGTTCCCCAAAACCTGGTTTGTTCCCCTGCCTGCTCTGCTTTCTGCTCCCAGTCCTGTGCCCCCTGCTTGATCTGCTGCTCTGCTTTCCGCTCCATGCCCTACTTGCAGCTGGGCTGCTGTGCGACACATACAGAAGCTGCTGAGGGTGGCCACCCCGGCACAGATCATGCCCCAGGATGTTTCTGTCCCTAATTCCAAGATCCCTTTGGTTCCTCAGCCCTGGCTCGAGGGTCTGCTTTTCAGCCCTGCTGCGCGTGCACCGTGCGTGGCTTGTCCAGCACAGCGGCCTGCTGCATGGAGTCAGGTCCATAAATGCTCTGGGCTCATTTCTGATGGACAGCAATGCAGCGACAGATGGCTTTGTGAAAGCCCCATCCATGCACACCTTCACTGATGCAGCGGTGCTCCGCAGGTAGTGAATGGGGTTGCCTGTGAGCTCCCTGTTGCTATTTTGCTCTGGGATTTGGTTAATTAAGAAGGACAGACCTCATGTAACCTGGGAGTCTCCCTCAAGCTCTGTTGGGTACCGAGGGTGTGTTTGTGTCCTCAGGCGGCTGGGCCCCAAACAGCTGCAGCCACCAACCCTCTCCCCTCTCTTGTCCTTCCCTCACTGTTTGCAGATGTGCCTGAGCATCTCCGGCACCATCCTGCAGCTGAACGCCAGGCTGGGCACGCTGGTGGGTAAGTTCTGGTTTCGAGGAGGGTCCTCGCTCTCCGCTCCTAACCCATCCGTGACTTGGCACTGCGCGGCACCAGGCACGTTGTCGAGGCTAAACAAAGAGGCAGCAAGTTGTAGTCATCGCTGTCGTCATCATTATGTGAAAGGAGGAATAGGTATAGAAGGCTCTTTTCTCCTGTTGTGTGCTAAGCCTTCACTTCGCCGTGTTACGTGAATTCACCACGGCTCCGGCAACGCGGTCTGGTGCTGTACCCGGCAAGTGTTCATCCTCTGTTTATTCAACTGCCTGCCCAGCTCTCGGCTTGGCTGAACGGCTGGCGTCGGAGAGTGAAAGATGAACCGTTGGACTTTATCGTTGCATAAACTTTGCTTGGGGCAGCGAATTTGTATTTCCCCTGTTCCAGCATAAATCATGTCAATGCAGATGGGGGGGAAAGTAGAGTTGTCGACTTCTCTGCTTGCAAAGATGTAACCGCCTGGGGGAACTTTTGGATTCATGCCCTGCACCTTTCTTCTAATAAACTGGTACACTCAGAATAGGTTACCTTCAAGGGAGAAGCAGGATCTAAGATCGGGACCTGAGGTCTTATCTACACCACCACGTTTTGCTGGAACAGTTGCAGCAGTCTGCAGCCACGTGCGGGCACGTGCTTTTCTGACATAGAAGTGCCTTTTTTTGTCTTACCATACATTTCTTCCTAAGCATCAAAAGTTGACCTTGGAAAGATGCTCATGTTGGAAGAAGAGTGTGAAAGTAGCAAAACTGAATCTGTCCAAATTCACACCTTCAGTTATACCCCCAAGCACTTCCCTGTGCAGGCAGGGCTAGCAGGTCCCTCCTCTCTCCTCACTGTTGTCTATTGTTTATCCCACCCTATTCAAAAGGCCCAGAGCAGCTATAGGCACTGCCCTGATGACAGTCTGGGGAACCAGCAGGATCGGGTCCCAAGGATTAAGAAGCAGAAGATGCTTTCCTGCTGGTTTTAAAGCTCGGTTTTAAAGCTGCTCCTTCCTGGGGCAGGTTTGGGTGTTCGGTCTAAGTTGTAGTCTTATGGAGAGTTCAGATTATAGTTGTACGGGATGGCCTGGATAGGACAGATCCTGCCTCAGGCAGGGGCTTGGACTAGATGTGGCCCTTGGAGGTCCCCTCCAGCCCCTTTTTCTATTCCCCGTATGCAAGTACAGAGATTTCCAGTGTTTCACAGAAAAGTCTGTTGTTCTCAACCAGTTTTAATTTTAAATACAGTGAACCACTTTATACCTGAAGGCAAATATTTTGCCATCCCCAGGCACCACAGAGAAGCTAGCTTTCTTAACAGGCTGCAGTCCAAGCCACTGGGGTTACTGTTGTCAGGGGTAAATCAAGACAGAATCATCCTTTTGGGGATGGAGTTGCAAAACCGAGGCTCTTCCTTATTTAAATGTCTGTGAAATCCAATGTTCTGAATGTTTCTACAGGACTAAATTTCTTCAGCCCCATATCCCAGCTCCACTACACCCTGATAGAGCCCCCTGTGATCACCGGGGACTACATCGACCTGGATTTAAATGTACGTGCTCCGGGATCCTTGGGTGCATGGGATGGTTGGCTCAAGCACTGGGGTTTTGAGTCTGGCAGTGGGTGGGGGACAATGTCAACCCAAATGCAAACCTTTGCACGGCATCAGCTGATGGGGATGCCCAAGAGGATGCCTATTTGCCATAGAAATGTCATGCGATTTCCAGACCTGAGAAGCAAAGCCGGGTGCTTGTGCAGGGGCCAGCTTGGTTGGTCTTGGCAGAGCTTGGTGAGTCCCTTCCTTTCCCTTCTTGTGCTCTCAGGCTGTGTTCACGCTCATGGGGAAGCCTCTTGTTTCGCTGGCCCGCCCGCCTCCCTTCTCCCTGCCGCTGAGCTCGGGATCCGGCGACTCCGTGGTCGTCTTGGGAATTTCGGAGCATTTGCTGAACAGTGTGTTGGCTATGGCACAGCAGTTTGGGAGCTTCAACTTCCACGTTTTCCGGCAGACGGTCAGTGCAGCCTGGGGGGGTGAATGGAGGCCCACCTGCATCTCCTCCGCTTGCGCTGGACCAGCTCTAAAAGTCCTGCAGGGGATTGACCCTCCTTGGCTTCACTGCAGGTTTTGGCTGAGTGAAGACTCAGGAAAGCCTGAGCCAGTCTTCAGCCTCCTAGGAGGATGGCCGGGGGACTTGCAATGGACAGCAAAACTCCCGAGCAAATGCTAGCACACAAGGGCGCACAGGGGTGGGAAGCTGAATTCATTACGGCTGTGGTTTTCAAAGGAGCCGAATGCCTTTGAAACCCCTCATAATGGGGTTCGTTATAGTCTGGCCCAGCAGGATGAATGGGAATCTGCTGAGTGAATGGAAGGCGATAGCTTTTCTTGTGCTCTGGGAACATGAGGACAGTAAAACAATGGGGTGTAGCTGCTTCGGCCTGTGGAAGAGCTGAATCAGCGGTTTGGGACAATAACTACCATTTTCTGATGGTTTGATATTTTTCCTTTCCAGAGTCCTTCCATCGGTCACCTGACAACGTCCCGGCTGGGCTCCTTTATTCCTGCAGTAAGAGATGTTTCTTTCTTTGATGCTGACAGGCGAGGTCCTGCTGTGGACTGGGGGCGCGGGGGAGAGGGGAAGGCTGGAGCTGTCGTCACTCAGCACGGCCCGTGTATGGGGATACTGGGTCCCGCTGGTCTCTTTCCTGCATCCTTGTGCTGGAAATAACGAGCACGAGAGGGGCAGGCACGTCCTGATCAGCAGAGATGCAGGAGAAGAGATGGTGCGTCCATACTGTCAGATGGGAGGGTAGAGGTCTCATCAAGTTGGGAGATTTGGGGCTGGAGGGTCTGTGATCCTGTCCACCTGGCAGCTTGAGCGGGCACAGGGGACGAAGCGTCATCCCTGGTACAAAGTGGTGGGTAGACTATGGGGGCCCTAGCCCCAGGTCTGTCCGTGGGCTGGAGCTCATCCATGGCAGGGACTTTCAGGGTGTTGTAAGTGAGGGCAACTGTTCCTCAGGTGATTCCTACCTGGCAGCGGGGTAGGACACGGAGGTGCACTGGCCAGAGGAGCCCTTCCAGACTCACCCCATGCCCAGGCACACCCGGCTCTGCCCCTTCGGCAGCGAGTCCGAGGAGTGGGGCTCTCAGTCAGAGGGGAAAATCACTGCCCCTTGCTTGAGATAAAGTTACCGGTTCGACAAATGTGTGTGTGCGTGCATGAGTGTGTGGTGGGGGTGACAGAAAGGGATGAAGAAGCAGCCGTGGCAGATGCCTGCCGTGCAAGCCCTAAACATGACTGCCCCGAGTGAGACCTGCTTCTTGTTGGAGCCACCAGGACTTGGGTTTGCAGCGGCGCGTTGGTGGCTCGGCCCCGCTGCCCACCTTAGTCCGAGATGCCGCACACGTGACCGCGTCGTCTGACTCGTCACTCCCTTCTGGAAGCAGCTGGTGCCGTCAGGTGCACCGGAAAGGGAAAGGGCTTAATACCCACTTTCCAGAAACGGAGACCCTTTCCAGTGTCTCAAGGTGGGAAGCCAAAAGCAGAGGCACCTGCAAAGGCTGGTCCTTTGGAGAAGGCAGGTGCATGTTTTGTCAACCCCGAACAAAGGCCACCACCCCTGGCCCTGCGATGGGGGGGGAGGCCATGCAGACGTACGAGGAACGAGCCATGAATCTGCCCCGTGTTGCCTTCTTGAGTGGGCACCTGCCTGCGGTGGAGGCAGTGGACGGGGACAATACTTGCTTTATTGCCTGAATCCCATGCTTCAAGTCTCTGCTGGCTTTTGGCCATGGACCAGAAGACATTTTCCCCTCTTAGATGTATTACATTGCTGCTGGGTTGGCTAGGTTTTTTTCTCCTCCCCCTGAAGCACCAGATTTTGGCCGTAGGTAAAGGTGAGGGCTCGGCAGGGTGTGCTAATGCTCCCAAGGGCACTGAGAAACTTCTTGCATGCCTTCTTGAAATTTCCCCCTTGGACCTTTGAATTTTTGCCCCTTTTCTGCAGCGTGGGGCATGGTCCTGTGGTCATCCACGCATGTTTCACGGTGCCTTTACGTCTCCTGCTCCCCCCCGTGTCACCCCATAGGTGCCTTTCATTTGGTACAAGGATTCTGAGTTTGTCCTGGGGCAGTTTGTGGCCGGGTGAGTGGTGGCCATTGTGGGCCGTTTTGGACATGTGTGTATTGCATGGCTGCCTAGCATGGCACAGGACTGCTCCTTGTCACCTGGGAGGTCCCTTCCAGCTCTGTGCTCTCATGTCCTTAAGCCTCTTTTACCTTGCAGATTGCTCACCAGTTCCCACACCCAGAGCCCATTGGGCTGAAGGTGACAGTGAGAAAAGCCCCCATCGTCACCTTTTTTGAGGGCAAAGCCATCCTGAGCCTGCATCCCTCCATCGAGGTGGTGGCAGCGGCATCCTGGACTTCTGCCTCACGGTCTCTCTTTACCCTGGAAGTTGTAAGTGGAGCTGAGCAGGGGCTAATCCCATCTAATCCCCTCATCCCCGGTCCACTTCCTTGGACGAACAGAGGGACCGTCTAGCCAAGGCCTGGCCTCTCTCCCTTGAGTTTTCACACCTTCCTGGACACCCTTCCATGAACATGGCTGGATGGCTCGCTGCAGGCCAGCCTCACCGTGGTATAACGTGCTGGTGACCCATGTCGCAGCAGGGACGTGGTTAGGCCCAAGCAGACTTGCACCCAAGTGGAAGAGAGAACCGGCCTCCCACCAACATCTCATAGGTGCAGCCGGGATCGATCCCCACTGGAGACAGGATCTCCGCCTGCAAGGACCGGGGCTGATGCTGGTCACTCCTGCTCCATTTCCCCTCCCTGTTCTCAGGGAAGAGATTGCCTCGCTGCCTGCCGCCTCTTGCATTGCTGAAGGCATTTACTGCTTCACCCTCAATTAAGTCACTCGGCAGCGCAGTTATGAAGCAGCTTGTCCCGGGCAGATTTACTTTCTTGAGTGTAGTAGTCCTAAAAAGGCAAGAAGTCAGATGGGATGGAGCCATCTATTTAATTAACTGCTCTTTTTTAATCTCTTCGCAGGATGTGGCTTTGGTTCTCCGTTTTGCTGTGACAGAAGTGACGCTGCAGGCCTCTGTCTCTCCGCAAGGGTCAGTCTAATTCTGTTTTGCTCGTGAGGGATAGTTCCTCGGACCTGAGCTGGGCAATGCTGAGGATAGAGTGGTTCAGAAAACTACTTTGCAGTTTGATGGACCGGAGGAATTTTTGAGGCTTGGACTCTTGAAAAGATGTCGGCATCCAGTAGAGAGCGCAGTAATAAATCCACCTGTGTCTTTCCAGCACAAAGGTGGACAAGGTTCTTTGGGTAGATGTGATCTCTTTTATCAGACCAACTAAATACTTCTTTTAGCTGGTCCAATGCAAGGTATCAGGTTTACCCAAGGAATCTTGTCTGCTGACATCCTTAGACCAGCAACCAACAGTCCTTTTCAGCACCCGTGCATATTGCAAAGCTACGGGAGCGGTGCAATACGTGTGTGCCACTCCTCCCCTTGGACCCTCCTATAGTCTGTACTGGACATTACTCATTGCTGCTCAAAACAGCGTGGTGGCCAAGGGCCGTGAAAGGAATAGGCTGGGTTTTTATTGCTTCTTTTGTCTTTGCTTTATGCCTGGTGTGCTTGCTGATGGGAGGAGGAGGCCAGTGGTGTTGACAAGCAGTTCGTTGTTTAACTCCCTTGTCCCCACTTTAAACAAAAGAGATTTGGCTGTTTTTGATGACCATTTATAACCTGCCTTCTGCTCCAGAAAGTAAGAGTGAGCAAACCAGCCGTTTTGAGAAATGTCTCCCATTTGGGAACAGGTTGAAGCTTAATGTACGGTAGATCACTGGAGATCCGCCTTGCCTCCACCCAAAGCATCTCGGGGCAAGTTCTCCTTGTTCACTTCCTTTATTTTTCTTCCCCTCCAGTGGTCTTAGGTTTGTGCTGGTTTCTTCCAGAGTTGGATCTGTGAATGTAAGTGCCCATCTTCCTACCTTCTTTTATGTATGGCAGCCAGATTTCATCTTCAGGGGAGATGTGATCATTACCCACTGATTTGCTTTGCTTTGCTACCCAGCGATGGCTTTGTTTTCAGGGCCGATCTGCAGTCATTAATTTGCAAAGCTTTTGGGGGCGGGGGATTCAATCTTTGCTGCGGTCTTGGTGTCATGTTCCTCTTCATCTACCACCTATGATGTTTTAGTTTTTCCGGGGGTGACAGTCCCTTGGTATCTGTGCTGAAGGCTGCCCTACAGCATAATACCATTTCCTAGTCCATGCTATGCCGTTTCTGGAGAGATCGCTTCATGCGGGGCTGGGATGATACAGCGGGGTAGTGAGCTTAGGGGCCCAGAGGAAAGCAAGAAGGGGACTGGACCCATAGTGCAAGGATATCATCGGTCCACAATCTCTTGGCCCAACAGTGAATGCATTAGTGCGAACAAAGTCTGTGCAATATTAACAACCAGGTTGCAACAGACTCTTGCCTGTCGGCTCATTCCTCACGATGTCGACATCCTCTGCAAGGTAAAGCAGCTGGGTTGACCATGTTTCTCCACGGGCAGGTCTCCTGGGTGACTTGTCTCATCGCCTCTGCTTTTGAGGAGGCGCTTGTGGCTCAGCTGAACGGTAAGCAGGGTGGCACTTGGTGCCAGTATGGGGGTGTTGCTTGGCCTCCACTATGCTCTCACGGGGCAGAGAGAAGGGGAGCTGCCAACCCTGCCGGTGGGGGGATGGTTTGCCCAGGGCACCTCTGAAATGTTTCCCATTAAATCTCATCATAGTCCAAAAGGCTTGGCTTGCGCTGGCCTTCCTGAGACCTTTTCCCCCACGAAGGCAGAGGTGAGCTGGGTCACACCAGAGCCCTAACCGTCTCTCCTGCTTCCCCCATTTGTAGAACAGCAATAATAAATGCTCCCCTCTCTCCGAGGTGCAGCAGCTGCGATGCAGAAGAGGCTGGTAGCATGAAGGGTCAGATGTGTTGGGTTTTCCCCCCCTTTAAAGGGGATTAAGCTACTTGATGTCAGACTAGAGAAAGCCGTGGTTTTCTGCCAGCGGCTCCAACTCCCACCCAGCGCTTCTCCGCGGAGGGCTGGGGGAGTGGTGCGGGGTGTCAGTCTGGACAGATCGCATCTCCAGAGAGTGTTTTATCCGTTCAGGGTGACAGGAGTCTGTACGACTAAGTGACTTGGCATTGCTCCTGTGCAACACAGAAAGATTTATGCCGTGTGCCAGCCCCGTGACTCGTGTCGGGGCTGTACTGGTCATCTCAGTGAATGAGCCAGTAGACTGAGACATCAAACCATGTAGCCTGCCAGCATAAGCCCCTCTAATCTGTCTGCTTCAAAAGTCCTTGCTTTCTTCTGAAGAATAGACATGGCAGAATAAATGCCTGCCCGTGTCCGAGCCGCCTTGCTCTGCAGCACCGTGTCAGGGCAGCTCCCGGGGTGGGTTTGGAGAGCCGGCCAAGACCCTTCATGGCACCATCATGAAGCGGCTGAGCACAGCACAGAGCTATCACCAGGCATCCTCTTCTCGGGGTGTTTAGTGGCCTTTTGGGCTACAAACGGCTTCTGTAGTTTTAACCGCCTGCTGCTTGCTGTTTGTCTGACTCCGTTTTCAGCTGTGCTGAGCATAGGCATAAATCTGCCGTGCCTGGATAACATCAAGTATGTCCACCCCCGCACTGAGGTTCACAAGGTGAGTGTGCAAAAGCATGGGGTATTTCCCTGCGGTGCCCTCTCTCGGGTCCTGTGCACCAGCAGGATGGGCGGTGCGTCCCTCAGCGGAGAGCCGCAAACTGGAGTGGGGGGCTGCCGGTGTCGGTAAAACCAGGCGTCTCTGCTGCTGTGTCACTGGGCAAAGGTGCAAAGCGGCCAGTGCACTTGCTGGCAGCCTTCGCAGGGGTGCCTGGAAATGTCTGAGTAATGGGTGGAAGAAGCCTGGACATGGGCTCCAACCTGCATGTCTCTGCCATCGGGCTCTTCACTAACAGCTTTTTGCACAGAGGTTTGCTGCTGGAAAGCAAGTGCTTTCACTGCATCAGAGGGGTCAGGATATCGGTGGGGGGGAACTCTTAGTCTTTTGTTGGCTCATAACTTTCCTGATCACTAAAATGAGGAGATTTCAAGTGGTCTGAGGCTGGCATTGCGGGAAGGCTTTGGCTGAGTGCTTCTCAGGATGCTGTTTCCTGTGACTCAGCCCCTTGACCTTTCTGCCTCTGACGGTGGGGCTGTGTTCATATTATTATCATCGTGTTATCATCCAGATGCCCAACACCATTGCCCTCCACATTACACCTGTTCTTGCAGTAGCAAGAGTCAACAGCTCCTTCTGCCACCGTGGGAACACGCTGGTGTCCTCACAACTGACCTTCAGCCTCAGAGGCCGTTTCCTTTCTCTTTGGCCTGGTCTCCGCCAAGGAAATCTTAGCTTCCCACTACTGCTAACAGCAGTCCAGTGCCACCAGTTTAGCAGTACGGGGAGTCCTGGAGTAGACGCCTTGCGGATATTTTAAGTCATTCAACCATGTTCAGAGTAGGAGTAGCTGAGATAACATCAGCAGGAGCATTGCTCAATCCTCATCATTTCTTCATCCAACAGGGTTATGCTGCGGTCAGTTGTGGCCTTGACTATGCTCAGTGAAGCGAGGAGAGGAACAAAGAGGAACAAAGAGGAATAAAGCGTAACAGTTTTACTTGGCAAAACAGTCGTCGTGTCAGTCCATGAATCTGATGGCTTAAAGACGAAGAGCAATTGGGGCGTCTTAGTTGCATGACTTTGTAGCTAACACGTCTGGCATTTGGCTGGGGGGGTGTCTCTGCTGTGGAGCGTACATCATTTATATAATGGGGTTTGGCAACAGTCATTGTTGCACTGGCTCTACTTAGTTTAGGCACCATCTGCATCTTTCCCAGACCTCAGGAAGGGCATTTTGGGCATGTCTACATGTGCATTTACACCAGCTTAAATTTACTGCCCAGCAAGTTAGTAAGCAGGAATAGGCTGGTGTCTACACATGCAGGCATTAAAGCGCATTAACGCTGTGTGTGGACTGACTTGGGACTGAAGTTAGTCCCAAGTCAGTCCACACACACTGTGATTGTGCAGTAAGACATCTACACGTGCGTTTCTGCGCAGTAATTAAGCAGGTGTAAATTTATGCTGAAGTTGGTGTAAGTCCCCATATTTACTGTTTGGTACAGGAGTGCATGTGTAAACGTGTGCCCATACTGTGCAGTAATTTTGGTTACTGTGCAGTAAATACACGCGTGTAGAGGCGCCCTTTGTTTCCAAAAGCTTGCAGAACAACTCCCCCAGCTGCATAGTTGGTCTAATAAAAGATATTTATGAAACAGATCCTGCTTCTTGCCCCTCCCCAGGCCCCACCGTGGCTTCCACACCACCACAATCCCACTGCCTTGTGTTGTAGGTTTTGCTCATCCTGCTCTCGGCTGCGTTGCTGTGTATCAACGTGTCGGTTAGTTAGTTGTTTTACTCCATCATCGACACATTCCCCTGGAGTTGGCTGTTGGGGGCCTGCTCTGAGAGATGATGCAGATGGTACGGACGCATATGTACCTGGCCTCACAAGCTCTCTCTACGTGTATCCATCCTCCTCTTGGTCCAACAGATGTTTTGTTGGAGCAATGCGCCTGTGCCAATCCTGAGATCTCTCTGTGTCCGAGACAGCAGACCCTCAAGCTCATTTGGTTTGCAGCACAGCTGCTGTTTCATGTTGAGCACCGAGGGCCATGTGGGTCAGACGTTGCGCATTTTCAGGGTTGGGGTTGTTCCAGCTGATCATGTTTTACATCATTTAAGACCATTTGCAAAGACAAGCAGGGACAGATCCAAAGGTAGCTTCCCTCTGCAAGGACAATTGAGCAGCAAATGTGCGTGCATGTTTGCTGCATGTTCACATCAGGTAGCGGCACACACGAAGAAGGAGCAGTAGGCATTTACACACCTGTGTGAGTTCATTTTGGGTGTGCATTTGATATCCTCCCCTGGCCCTGAGGTCTGGTAGCTGTAGCTGTGCTGCTCTTGCGTTTGTTGCTGGGCGTGGATCCTGCTAGCTGGGGAACTCGTTCTGTCGCTGCGACGCCGGGTGATTTTCCTGGTGAGAGTCTGCTGCTGAGTTTGCTGTGTGCACAGAAACCAGGAGAGGTCACTACAGCCCTCCTTAAACACAGCGGCGAAGCTTGCCTGCGCTTCGTGCCAGATGTGCCGTGCAGGGGTGGACAAAAAGGAAACGGCAGCAGGCGCAGTTCCACACCCAGAGACGAGCGCACCTCAAGATGCTTGGAGGTTGAGGCAACCGTCCCAAGGTCGGGGGTCTTCTCCTCAGCTGGTGTAAACTGGTGGAGCCCCTTTGCGTTTAGATGGGGCTGTGCTGATTTCTAGCAGCTCTGGATTGTATCCTGAGCTTGAAAATGGACTAGAAATCTCAGGCAGAGCCATAGGTTTTATTTTCAGGCATATTTAGATGTTTTTGTTTCTGCTGCTGCCGAAAACTGCAGGCTGCTGAAGAGATGCCCCAAAATTGGGAGTTGTCGGGAAAACTGTAGAGGAAGGGGTAGTAAAAGAGGACATTTAAAATAAAAAATGAGCTGTGTTTTGGGTCAGGAATCTGGTATTTTTAGTCCAGCTGGCTTGGCCCATCCACGTGGCGCTCAGCACTGCTGTCCCTTTAACAGGGCTCTTACATAGCCCAGGGCACGGCTGCGTTTGCTGCCCAGGATCTCTGTTCATTTTGGGGAGCTGTGGGATGTGCTCTCTTTGCTTCCCAACTTTGCTGGGGGTGGGAGGGAGTATTTAAAAAATGAAGCTTAGAGCTGAGCTGTAGGAGGTTTGCAGTCTCCTCTGGAGGCAGGGAACAGCAGCCAAAGGGATGTTTCTCCTTTCTAGCATGGTTCAGGGAAAGCCAACAGCCGGTCTCCCATCCCCAGCTACGCCCCTGGGAAAGGCAGAAGGTCACGGGCGAGAGCCCTCCTGCATTTCGTAGCCCAGCTCAGTGCAATGAAGCCACGTGGCTTTCTATGGCTAGCAGCACATAAGGGGGTGGTGGGACTAGCCTCGCATCTGGCCGTCTCACGCTCCCCAGCCCAACGACCTGTTTACAGCCGGTGGCACCTTCAGTAAAAGCCTAGCGGGAGGGTCCAGCTCGGTGGCGAGAAGCCTGCGAGCATCGGCACCAATGGCATCAGATGCGCTTTTGCTGGTAAATGATGCCACTTTGTTTTGCCCTGAGAGGCAACGAGCTACTTTCCTCTGCTGTGAGCTGGCCGCATGTGCCCACGCTCCCGTGTAGGTGGGAGGTTTGCCCTGTTGTGTGCCGCCCGCGTCGGCACGCGTCAGTGCATTTCTGCACAGGCGTAAAGAAAACGCTACCAGAATCGGACCAGAAACGTGGCACGAGAGGAAGTCTTTAATGAAAGGAGGAAATCTTGTTACAATCCACGGGTCTGAGCCGGACAGGAGCAAGACTTTCCAGCACAATGTCGAATGCACCCTCAACGTAAGAGACTATTCTTAGAAAAGCAAAGAAGTATCCTTAACATTTCATGAAGGAAAGAAACATGGCTCACTATTTAATCCATCAAATCAGAGAGACCAAAGAACAATTTCTCCGCAGATCTGAAGTGTCTGGGGGTAAAACAAGAGGAAAGGAGCTCCCAGCAAAGTTTCAGTTATCAGTGGCTTGCTGTCCATCTCCCTCGATGTACTCGAGGTTTACAGGGATCAGCACATAACCCTGCAGAAGGGAAAAACAAAGATTAAACAAGGCTCCTGGTTCTCTTGGTTTAGTTTGGGCTCACAGGGTGAGAGGGACCTCCGGCATCGTCTGGTCCAACCCCTGCACAAATGCAGCAATGCTATTTTTAAACCATCCCTGTCCAGTGCCCGATGCGCATCCAGCCTCCTCTTCACCAGTCCCAGTGAAGGCGACTCTGTCGCAGGCTACCCTACAGCCTTGCTTTTCTAATCACAAGGAAGTTTTTCCTGAGATCTCATCTCAATCTGCTTTGCTGTCCTTTAAAACCAGTGCCTCATTGCAGAGAGTTTGCCACTTGTGTTATTGCCTCTTGCACATCCATCCCTTACACTTGGATGTGGAGGGCAGAGCTATTTTATTTAAGGCAATAACACTTAGTTCTGGGGGTTAGCAAGCCCAGAGGAGCCAGGGTTCATGCCTACTTTTAACCTCCATTTCAGAGAAAGGAACAAAACTCCACGCCAGGATTTCTCCGTGACGGAGAACTCATGCAGGGACTTTTGAGTCTGGATCCCAGCTTTTGCAGGCAACGACATCCCGAAATCCCTCATGGTTTCTCCCGTGTGATGTGAAATTCTGCAAGGGTGTGAGGCATGGGAAATAGTCCCCCGTGTTTGCCTTCCCTTCTCATGCACGTGGGAAGTGCCCGTGCTGCTGGGAAAGGGAAACCAGCCGAGCAAAGCTCGCTGCCCCCAGTCATAGTTCCCAGTCACCCCTGGCCACGCGTGCCTGAGACTTCACTGGAGGGTGCATCTCCAGGGTGGCATCAAACTACCGAGGAAGCTACTTAAAAATCCCCGCTTCTCACCTCGTGGATGGCAATGCTAATATCAACGTAGTTGAAAATGAGACTCAGGTGCGGCAGAGAGATCCCTTCATGCAACACCTCTGAAAAAGAGAGGGGGAGGAAATGAGTGGCTGCGTCTGGATAATGTAAAACCGCCTTCAGGCTCGGCCTGTCAGTCCGCGGCCCTCCAGATCTTAATGGCACTCTGCTAATTCTCCTCCGCTAGCCTGCAAGTCCATCACCCGAACAGCTTGGAAATGCCGCCGGGGCCTCGGAGAGAAGCTAGCATTTGTTTTACATGCACTAATTATTTCCGCAGCGTCATCCAGCTGCAAGGTGCTGTAGCTGGGCACACAGCTGAGGGCCGGTTTCTAATTTCCTTGGCAGTGTTGCAAGCCAGAGTCTTTCCGCCGCCCGCGATAGATCTGTTTTTGGAATGAATCAGAGGAGGCTTTCGTTCGCAGCCCCTGGCTCGATCTCGCGGACGTGCATCCCTGGCTCTGCTGCTTCCAGCTGCGAGGAACCGCGCAGAAACCTTCTTCCTTCTCGCAGCTGGAGGTGGCCGTGCTCACCGGACCAGATGCCCAGTTCAGACTGATGTAGCCAGCTGATTACCACTGATGGGCCTGGCAGGGAAGGGTGCAGGTCATGGCGGAGGATAGTCGGGCCTGGCAGCGCGTGCAATTCTGCAGGGAGATGCTGAGCTTTTTTCTCTTGGGAAGAAGCACACCAGTTTGGGTGGAAGGACCAAGCTTAGGGACATGAAGGTTTTGGAGGGTTGCATTCACCCTTCCTGGTGCCAAATGATGCAAACTACTTTGATAGGTGGAGGGCATGATACAGAGGATTTTTCCAAGCCCAGGGGGAGGGGGCTGGGGGAGGCACCGTTCTAGTTTCTGCCCCAGGAGGGGCACAGAGCTGCCATTAACATGGGCCAGCACCTAAACCGCGTGGCAAAGAATGGGGGTTGCATCCAGACCATCGCGGTCAGAACCTCCTGGGTATAAACAACGGCCCCGGCATCCTTACCATTCATACGGGCCAAGATTTCTTTCTGAATTACATCGCCAAATAATTCCTTCAGCCAGTCACCCTGCCAAAGGAGAAGAAGCTCAGTGACTGTGGGACGGATCGACACCATAAGAAAGGGAGAAACCAGCCACAAAGAGGGAACAAATCCGTGGTCACTTGGG